TGCAAACCGCCTTCTGCCCCTCTCAGAAGACACCCTCCCAGAATCCCAGAACGGCTTCCGCCCCTCCAGAGGAACCGTGGACATGATCTTCACTGCACGACAGCTCCAAGAAAAATGCAGGGAACAAAACCAACCTCTGTACATGGCATTCATCGACCTTGCAAAGGCATTCGACACAGTGAATCGCAGCGCTCTCTGGACCATCCTCCAAAAAATCGGGTGCCCAAGCAAATTTGTGAACATCCTGCGGCTCCTCCACGATGACATGATGGCAACAGTCTTGGACAGCAGTGGCTCCCAAAGTGACCCATTTAAGGTGGAATCAGGTGTCAAACAGGGATGTGTTATTGCCCCAACTCTATTCTCCATCTTCATCGCTATGATACTTCACCTTGTTGATGGGAAGCTTCCCAACGGAGTGGAAATCATCTATCGGACAGATGGCAAGCTATTCAACCTCAGCAGACTGAAAGCCAAAACCAAGGTTACAACAACATCTGTTATAGAACTCCAGTATGCTGATGACAATGTCGTCTGTGCGCATTCAGAAGAAGATCTACAAGCCACTCTAAACACCTTCGCAGAAGCATACGAGAAGCTCGGCCTGTCATTGAACATTGAAAAAACCAAAGTGATCTCCCAGCAGGCACCAGCCAAGCCCTCTCCAATGCCAGTGATACAGCTTAATGGTGTCACATTAGAAAATGTTGATCATTTCCGCTACCTTGGCAGCCACCTCTCCACCAAAGTCAACATCGACGCCGAAATACAACACCGCCTGAGCTCTGCAAGTGCAGCATTTTTCCGAATGAAGCAGAGAGTGTTTGAGGACCGGGACATCCGTAGGGATACCAAGGTGCTTGTTTATAAAGCTATTGTCCTCCCAACCCTGCTCTATGCCTGTGAACGTGGACTGTCTACAGACGTCACATGCAACTCCTGGAACTTTCCATCAGCGCTGCCTCCGGAAAATCCTGCAAATCTCCTGGGAAGACAAGCGGACAAACGTCAGTGTGCTGGAAGGAGCAAAGACCACCAGCATTGAAGCGATGGTCCTCCAACATCAACTCCGCTGGACCGGCCACGTTGTCCGGATGCCTGACCACCGTCTGCCAAAGCAGTTGCTCTACTCTGAACTTAAGAACGGAAAATGGAATGTTGGTGGACAGGAAAAGAGATTTAAAGATGGGCTCAAAGCCAACCTTAAAAACTCTGGCATAGACACTGAGAACTGGGAAGCCCTGGCCCTTGAGCGCTCCAGCTGGAGGTCAGCTGTGACCAGCAGTGCTGCAGAATTTGAGGAGGCACGAGTGGAGGGTGAAAGAGTGAAACGTGCCAGGAGGAAGGCGCGTCAAGCCAACCCCAACCGGGACCACCTTCCACCTGGAAACCAATGCCCTCACTGCGGAAGAAGATGCAGAGCAAGAATAGGGCTCCACAGCCACATACGGACCCACAAGGAAATCCATAATGGAAGACCATCTTACTCGTCCAACGAGGGATCGCCTAAGTAAGTAAGTAAGATGGATGGATAGATGGATGGATAGATGGATGGATAGATGGATGGATGGATGGATGGATGGATGGATGGATAGATGGATAGATAGATGGATAGATAGATAGATGGATAGATAGATGGATAGATAGATGGATAGATGGATGGATGGATGGATGGATGGATGGATGGATAGATAGATAGATAGTAGATAGATGGATAGATGGATAGATAGATGGATGGATAGACAGACGGACGGACGGACAGATGGATAGATAGATGATAGATGCGTAGAGGGCCAGAGAACCCAAGGGCCATTAGTCTAACCCTCTTCTGCCATGAAGGTAGACACAATTGAGACCCTCCCAACAGATGGCCACCCAGCTTCTACTTAAATGCCCCCAGAGAACAAGGAGACACCACCAGACAACAAATCCTAGAGTTGAAAGGGACCTCCGAAGGCCTCTTAGTTCAACCTGCAGGAAGACACCATTCAAACCCTCCTGACAGATGGCCACCTGGCTTCTGCTTTAAAACCTTCAGATAAGGAATCATAGAAGAGTTGGAAGAGTCTAACCCCCAAATAGATAGATAGATAGATAGATAGATAGATAGATAGATAGATAGATAGATCAGAAGACTTGTGACGGTGCATCAGGCCCCACTTGTATGTGAATGTACAGTTGAATTGTTTGGCTATGTTCTGCTTTCTATCAACGTTGTTTGCATCTGTTGAATTGCCTTCCCTGCTTAATTGTTGGCTCCTCCCCTTCCTGGAGAAGAGGGCGGGGCTTTCCTTTTCATTCTACCATCAGACAGCTTTATAGATGGACGTGAAAAAGATTTGGCTCTAAAGCCCTTGTTTAAGCTCTCTCTCATCACCAACTCTCAGGTTTTTACCCTTGAGACTCACACTTGTGAACCACAGAGTGTGGTGGAGGCTCCTTCTTTGGAAGCTTTGAAGCAGAGGCTGGATGGCCATCTGTCAGGGGTGATTTGAATGCAATATTCCTGCTTCTTGGCAGAATGGGGTTGGACTGGATGATGGCCCAGGAGGTCTCTTCCAACTCTTTGATTCTATGACTTCATGCCCAGATCTTCCTGGACGATGTTGAGGAGTCTCAAGCGCCTTCAAACCAGTCCTTTGGCACCAGAGGAAGACTTTGTGCCTTCAAATATAGGCCATTGGAATTGGGGTTGTGGGTGCTCCGGCATTCACAGCCATGGAGAAAAGAGGGAACTTGGAAAGCTTCTCAGCTGCAAACCCCTTGGACCCAAGACTTCAGAGACTGTAACATATATTTTCTTTATCCCTGTTGAAACATCAAGTTTGTGCCTAAGAAAGATAACTCATTTTGAACAATAAAGACCATTTCGGGTTATCTGTTGTGTCTTGGTACTTGGGAGTTCCAGTTTCCTAAAGGAAGGCAAGAAGCAATCCCCTGGGGAGAGATATCACATCCATGTTTCTTCCACTAAGATCTATAGACCCCAGGCGCGATGGCACAAGACACCCCAAGGGCCATCCAGTCCACCCCTCTTAAGAGATAGATAGTTAGATAGACATATATCTACATCTATATTGTCAGTCCTAGAGCTGGAATGTGTCCAGAGGAGGGCGACTAAAATGATCAAGGGTCTGGAGATCAAGCCCTATGAGGAGTCGGCTTAAGGAGCTGGCATGTTTAGCCTGAAGAAGAGAAGGCTGAGAGGAGATAATGAGGCCATGTATAAATATGTGAGGGGAAAGTCACAGGGAGGAGGGAGCAAGCTTGTTTCTGCTTCCTTGGAGACTAGGACATGGAACCATGGCTTCAAACTACAAGAGAGGAGATTCCATCTGAACATGAGGAAGAACTTCCTGACTGTGAGAGCCGTTCAGCAGTGGAACTCTCTGCCCTGGAGTGTGGTGGAGGCTCCTTCTTTGGAAGCTTTTAAACAGAGGCTGGATGGCCATCTGTCAGGGGTGATTTGAATGCAATATTCCTGCTTCTTGGCAGAATGGGGTTGGACTGGATGATGGCCAAGGAGGTCTCTTCCAACTCTTTGGATTCTATGGAAGGGGCCCCAAGAGCCATCTAGTCCATCCTATAAGACACACACACACACACACATACACACATAGTCAGTCCTACACTTGGAAGAGACCCCAAGGGTATTCAGGTCATCCTATAAGCAATAGATAGATAGATAGATAGATAGATAGATAGATAGATAGAGATAGATAGATAGATAGATAGATAGATAGATAGACAGATAGATCGGCAGAAGGCTATAGTCAGAAGAGATCCCAAGGAAGGACTACCCAGCCCAGCCCCCTTCTTTCTTTCTTCCAGGCAAGAAGAACAAGCCAAGCCCTCCCGAGAGATGGCCATCCCACCCCAGTGTCAACACTTCAAGGGGAGCAGATACCTCATCATGTGGATGGCCTCTGGGTCGCTGGTGAAGCTGAAGGCGTAGCCGCTGGAGGTGGTCCCAAAGTCAATGGCCACCACCACGGAGAAGGCGGCGGGCCGGCGCACACGGACTTCGTTCCTCTGCGGACAGAAAGCACCAAAAGCCCGGTTGTGGATGGAAGAGGCCTCTCCAAGGCCAAGGAGTGAACAACCATCCCCATGCCAAGGGTGCCAGAGTGGATGAATCGGCACTCCAAGCATGGGAGCCACAATCCATATTGCCTAGTGGGAAAATCCATCTGCTCCAGGTTGTAGTCCTAACTTTAGAGGAGCTTCTCAAGGTGCCAGACCTCTTTGGAGTCCAGCAATCTTCCTCCTCCTAACACTTCTCCCCCTGCATTGCTCTGAATTACACCAATCTGTGGATCAATTCAGCCTCCATTTCTTGAGCCACTTTAGACCTATTGCCACTGTGTTTTAATCTTTGCACCATGCTTTAAAATACGTGTACCTTATAGTAATGTTTTTCAGTCTATGCATTGTATATATTTTATGGTGATGTGTCTGAAGAGTGTTGTGATCCAATT